ACGATCAGGTTACCCCCGCTGGAACCTTAGTCGCCAGATGGTAGGTGGAAAACTATTCGGCTACCTCGACACTCTCACGACCCTTTACACGCAACTAAAATATATCTACAAGAAGTTTCAAAACAAACGGACGATAGAAAGCTAGGTTTCTTTCAGTGCAAGCCTTTTCCATAATGCCGAGTATGTATGTAAAATCATTTTCTCACCGGTCTCACTGAAAAATAATATCATTCATAAAGTCGCACGGAAGATATCTTTTAATATAATTAGCGCTTTATGTCTCTTATACATTGTATAGCACTATAACTTACATACAATAAAAATGCCCTACAATAAAAATTCACTTGATATACTTATTGAATACAGTTTAACTCAATAAAATATATATGATATATATGTAAATATGCATACACATTATTAAATTGTATAAATAATCAAAATTACATCAATTATAAATTTATATCGAACACATAATTCATAGTGGTATATGTCCGATTAAATGCTGTGTAAAATGACTATTAAATAAACCAATGAATTATATAGTTTAGTATCATATAGAAGCAAATTTATTTCTTTCCTTCATGACTGTATCTTTTAAGATTTACGCAGCAAAAAACATCGATACTATCGTGGAAAATTTACTCTGGCAAATTCATAAAGAAATTTTTGCTGGACTAAAGACGAATGATATATGGCGAGACAAAACGTTTTCGGCCATTATCGGCAAAGATTAAGATCGACGTGAAGATTTTTCGCGTTCGTACATGATTGATACGATAGCATACAATCAATCAACGCTCTGCAATTTTCGTTCGATGTACTTCATTATCACGCAGATAATCATCTTATCATTACAGCATCGTGATAAATATCACGTAATCCCGCCAAAAGTGTTTATCGAGCTAAAAAAGAACATGCATTGTGACCACCACGAAAATATCAACGGTCTCTCTTCCCCCTCCCGCCATTTTCTGGTGGGTTCGAATTCCAAGGGTTACGCAAAGAATTTAGCGATAACCGTACAGACTTTCGCATTTGAATGAAGACAAAAGTTACCTGATACGTTAGTTGATTAATCATGCCGATTATTACAGCGATAAGGCGCCACAATTACTCGGGCAATTACTCGGAGCGAATACCTTGATCCCGCTCGAACCGCTATATTGCTTGAGATAAGTTGAGATTGTGTTCGCAAAACGCGACAGGAAGAACGCTCGAATCGATCTTGATCGATTAATCGTTCTTAGGCTAAAGTTCATCTCATACGCTTTTATGCCAAAAGCATCGTTCTATTTTCCTTCAGCATGTGATGAGAAATAAAGATAGAATGATGCTTTCAGTACGAAAGAACGCATCTCGTATCCGAAAGGAAAATTTAGCAATTGTCATTGGCTGTCCAATAAGAAATTTCTAAAGTCTTGAAAATATTCCTTGTGGAATCCTAAAAATTCTGATGAATCAAAAAGTCCAACAAACTCTCGACAGGTCGAACGTTAACCTAGCAAAAAATAATCGTTTCTATCGAAAATCAATCTTTCATTTAAATATATATATGCATACTTGAGACGATATTAAACGAATAATTCGTGTATTTTATTTCTTCGAGATAAAATTGCGGAATTTTTTTTTGTTTATGCTGAAGACAAATTACAATCACATCGTAAATCATAAATAAACTTCGTCTCGCATAACACGATAAATTTTTATCATAATTCGTATTGCATAGTATTTTTCGCATAGTTTTAAAGGCTTGGAAAAATAGGATTTTTCAATGTTTTCAAGGATTTTTTTCGTTTCTTTCCGAGCAAAAATTGGAAAAATCGGTTTTTTTTAATTATAATTTTTCAACAGAATTTACCAACAAATCAAATTAACGTCATAATTTTCAATGCAATACGCAATACATCTCTAAGGTAACATTACGCACGATATTCTTAGAAGAGAAAATATATTATTCAGAACATCTAAAAAGTAGCCTCCTTCGTTGCAAAATTAGAGTGTCTATTGTCTTAGGCCTATCGAAGGCAACATAATATCTGTCGAGGGCTTCGGTTTAATTTCCACATGCGGGCAGACGAACCTTTCCGGTCAATTCTGATACGTACGCACCCGTATGCCAAACCCAACGTCGCCGGTGATCGCCGAAGGAGAAAAAAAGTCATAAATCATCGTTGATCTCGGACGAACTGATAACGAAATTCTATGCTTTTCGCTCGCAAACTGATCCCTTGCGATTCAAATTGGTTTTCAACAAATGAGCCAATGCTAAGAGTTTTTCTATAACTTGAACGCTATCATCGATCTATGGTTGTTGTTTGGTAAAATATTAAGATTTTAATATTAAATTTTTATTTTAATAATCCCAAGGAGCTCAGATCGCCGACTTCAGATTCGTTACCTCGACTGTTCGGAGAACCACGCGGTGAATTGTTCCTCGAGTGTTTATACGGGGCCCGTAATAATATACACTGCTCAAAAAACAATTAGAGGATCGCTCCTACAAACACTTACATCAGCTAGCAAATATTCGAATTACCGAGTATAGTATTCTGATACTTGTAATCTTAATCTTTATTAAATGCAGTTATACATTTTAATTGGTTAGTATGATCCCTCAATTTTGTTTTGCAGCAGTGTAATACGTAAACTTTCGAGAGGATTCGATCATTTTTAGTGGTCAGTCACGAAATGGTAAAGGGTTTGACATTTGGACATTCGTGTAGCTTTTAGGAGAGATGGAATTGTCAGATATTCCATCGAACGACATCCGATCGCTCTCGTTTTGACTCGATCGACCGTCGTGCTCGCTTGTCGTCCATTACGGGCCGTTCTCCTTCTTTGTCACCGTTCGTCATCTTCGGTGGAAGCAAACGAAAACGGCAAGAAAGAGGGGAGAGAGAGAGAGAGAGAGATATGTATAAAAAAAAAGAAAGGATAGGGAGGCAGAAGAGAGAGAAGAAGAAATGACGAGATGAAAGGAGACGTGATACAGGTCTGCGACGTTGCTACGCTGCGGTCTGAGACTCGAGAAATTGTGCAAAAACTTTCGATCAACCGACGTGGACCGTCACACGTTCTTCTTCTCCAAAATTACATATTTTTCTCGCTGACGATAAATAAAATAATTCGCGAAACGAATGCACCGTCGACACGCTCTAAGATAGTTCCCATAAATGTTAATTTTAACTCTGTTACATTTTATTTTATCACACGGACTTGATAATTAATTCAAATTTAACGATTGTAATAACTTTAACGGTCAATTCGATAAGGGATTTAAATTCTAGCTTATCTTAGATTTTGTCCGAGGAGTAAACTACAACATACTGCTAGGAGAAGTTTCCTCGGGTCTTTACGTTCCCCGTACAGTCAAATTCCCCCCAACACAAGTCACAACTGCTGTTGTAACTCCTCACAAAGATCCGATGATAAAAAACACTGTTCAAATTGTCATGTATTGCCCTTCATACGTCGACATCGGCGATGACCACACGGTAACCACATCGCATCGATAACCTAGCCCGCTACCAAAATCGATCTCGTTGTTCACGATGAGGCTACTTCGATGTCTCTCATCTCAGTGATGAAAGCTGCGTGCGATGGGTTTTTACGCGAAATATAAACGCAAACACAATACACACGCGGGCCGAAAACACACGGTACATATTTTTCCAAGAACTGACGGTCGCGCTAACGCTAACCAAAATAGGCCGACCGAGTTTGCGAGCGGCGCAAAAACAATCAGTCCCTCTTGAAAGTCGCGGATGAAACAACTCGGCCGAGCATTATTCGCAACAATAGCCGACTTTTCGATAATTTTGCGCAGCTTACCTCGCGGGAAGGACCGCCTGCCAAAACCCGGCCGTGTTTGTTTCGGTTGCACTTCCCACAACTTTATTACTTTCCTCCTTTTCTCCCCACAGTCTGAGTACACGGCGATTTACATGCGGAAATAGCACGAGAGAATACGGCTAAAACGAAGAGATATCTCTTTCGTACAACGGATTCGGGGCAACAGTTCACTGGTGACAATGAACGACGAGAGATACAAACCTCGGTTATCCCCCTATGTGCGCTCCCTCAATTATCTCCTCAAGTCCCGTAGCCGTGCGTGGCCACCGTGGTTATTCGAAAAACAGCAAAAGGAGATGCACACAACTCGCTCCCGCCGCTATTTTTAGACGTTCGATTCGGACAACTCGGTGGTGTACTACATGTGTACGCGATGCGACTCGAAGTATGCTGCGAAGTTGACAACGCTTCGTTAAACTCGACAGATCGTTCCACCAGCGCGATCCTATTTTGCCGCGTTTCTTTTTATTTATCGCTCGGAAAGAGTGACGCTCCTCCGTTCGCGAAGTGTCGACGCGATGACGCGTAGAGCGTCCGTGCCGCTTAAGTGAGCTAAAAGCGGCAGCTTAGAGCGCGCGGGCTGAGACTCGCCGTCGGAATTCTCGTCTCGGCGATCCATTCATGAGCGGTGATCCGAGAACGGGCGCGAAAATAAACGTTATAAACACAGTGTCCGTGCGATAAACGGCCGGCGACGACACGGTTTAACACGGTTCGTACGGGCGCGCGTTATCGGCGACTCGAGAGCTCGACGATCAAGCTCACGTCGCGCCTACTCCGGCGAGTCGGAAAAGCGCCGACGGCTCGATTGAAATTTCCGCACTTTTTTTACGCACCTCTCTGACGACTCTCTGACAGGTTTCCGAGAACTTATGGGTAATTTCCAAGCGGTCCGCTGGCACACGGAGAACACCATGCAAAAAGAACGCAACACAAAGCGGGAATCACGTGTACGACTATGAGGCGCACGCACATCGGCAACAGCACTAACGCAACAACGGCGGTGTATACCCCCCGTATACACAATACAGATTACAAAAGTGTTATGGCCGCGTTCGCGACGTTCATGAATGAAACTGAGCTCGCTACTAACTTCGTGCCGTAATTTCGGCCAACGGCTGATAGCTTGCAAACGGTCCCTACGTGGACGATGTCACGTGACTTGCCGGCGCGTCCTGAGTTCCACGGAGACTCGACAGGTGGCTGTACTAGGGGATCCAGTCGGGAATTTCTCCATTGTATTGTACATTTCCCGTATGATTTCTCAATATCTACTAATTTGTATCGCATACGATGAAAGAATTTTGACATGTGTACATCTTTTTTCATGCGTCATTTTATATTTTGGGTCTTTTTATCCGAAATTCTCTATTTTGGAGTCTCTAGAATCGGAATATCGACCAATTAGAGAACGATATTTTCTCGACGTCAGTACCCGGCCATATGAGAAAAGGCGGGCTATGACAGCAGACGGACAACATGATAACCTGTGTAAACACATGTTACGAATCTGCTCGCGGTATTTGAGATTTTCTTGATGTTTTTACTTAGTTATTAATATTGATTCGGTATATGTTGAAGAGAGCTCGTTTTAATTGGCTTATCGTGTGATCTTGAGATGGAAACTTCGGGAAACACGGGAGCTTTTCGTTCTGCCAGGTTTAACAAGAGGAACCCAAACCAGGATGCCACAAGTTCGGGGTATGATATATTTTTTTAATTTTTCGAATAACGAATTCACGAATGTTCTTCTGATTTTGCAATATTTCAGGGACAATGCATTGGGAAGATTGCTCGAGATCAAGGAGGACATTAGAATTGATGCGGTGTACGATTTTAGTAAGATCACTGATTCGAAGGAAAGGATAGGATTTCTGCTTAATATGCATGCGGTGAGAAATGAGGAAAGAAGACGTTGATCTTTTGTCTTATTGGTATAAAATATTGATTTTACTATTTTTGTGCAGACAGAGATTATGAACGATGATAAGCGTCTGCTAAGCGGTGTAGATTATTACTTCATAGAAGAAGATGCCACAAGATTTAAAGTATTCTTACCTTATTCTCCATACTTCTATGTTTTATGTCGTAAAGATACATTTGAAGAAGTGTCAACATTTTTATCTAAGAAATATATAGGAGTTTTAGTAAAAATCGAAACTATTCACAAAGAAGATCTTGATTTGGTAAGCTATAACATATATGATTAATATTATTAATATATATTTTAATATCGAGTTTAGTATCTTTCTAAAAATATGATTATTTTTATTCCTTCTATATTTTTTTCTCAATTATTTCAGCCTAATCATTTGATTGGTTTGAAACAAAAATACTTGAAACTTTCTTTTGCTAATGTTGTTGATTTGACAAAAGTTAAACGCGATATCATGCGTGTTGTTAAAATTAACAAAGTACGAGAGAAAAGTAACACTTATTACACAGATATGCTAGCAACTACATTACACTCAAATGAACAAGACAATAGTAGGCAAAGTTTAGATCGTATGGACAATATTCTTGATATTAGGTAACTATATATTCTTTTTTACTTGTTTTTCTGTTTATTAATATCTATGTGATTTCTATTATATTCTTTATTGACATTATATGATTAAATATGATTGTTTACAGGGAACATGATGTACCTCACCATGTTCGAGTATCTATAGATCAGAACATTTTTTGTGGTGTTTGGTATTCTGTAAAAGTAAAGGGAAATGAACCACCTATAATTACACGAAGAGAAGACATTATTGAACCGCCTGAACCTATTGTGTTAGCATATGATATTGAAACCACAAAGTTACCATTAAAATTTCCAGATTCCAGTATTGATCAAATTATGATGATATCATATATGATAGATGGGCAGGTAAGATTTAAATTTATATTGAAAGAACAAAGTCAATATCCATTTCTTCAAATCTCAGTTAAGGAAGTCTCAGTTTGTCTTTTCTTTCCAAAAATATGGAATTAATGTTTATATATTACTTTTTAGGGATACTTAATAACAAACAGAGAACTGATCTCATCAGACATACGAGATTTCGAATATACACCGAAACCAGAATTTGAAGGCCCTTTTACGATATTCAACGAGCCTAACGAAAAAGCGACGATAGCCAGATTTTTCGATCATATAAACGAAATAAAACCACACATATTTGTAACGTACAACGGTGATTTCTTCGATTGGCCGTTTGTCGAAGCCAGAGCAACTATACATAACATGAGTATGAAAGAAAGAATTGGCTTCTCAAAAAATCGCGAAGGCGTCTATGTCAGTAGAGCTGCTATGCATATGGATTGCTTATGGTAAGTAATCTTGTAAAATATATTATTGTAAATATTCTCACGAGAAATCTTCTTCCAGCTGGGTAAGACGTGATTCTTATCTCCCAGTGGGTTCTCAGAATTTAAAAGCTGTTGCTAAAGCCAAATTAAGATACGATCCGGTGGAACTTGATCCGGAAGATATGTGCAAATTAGCGTCGGAAGAACCAGAACTGCTTGCGAACTACTCCGTTTCCGATGCCGTGGCAACGTTTTATCTTTATCAGAAATATATTCATCCCTTCATATTTGCGTTATGTACTATTATCCCTATGGAACCGGACGAAGTAAGAAGAATAAATATTTAATTAATTAATTAAATTTTAATTATATATATATATGTATATTTATATATTTATATATATTTTTGACAATTAAACATACATTTGTTTCAATCATTTCTAGGTACTTAGAAAAGGATCCGGTACACTATGTGAATCACTCTTAATGGTACAGGCTTTTAGAGCTAATATTATATTTCCTAACAAGCAGGAAACCGAACTGAACAAATTGACAAAAGACGGCCACCTATTGGACCAAGAAACGTATGTGGGTGGACACGTAGAGGCCTTGGAGTCTGGTGTTTTCAGGGCTGATATCCCTTGCCGTTTCAAGATCGTACCAAGTGCGGTGGATGAATTGATCGACGGTGTGGAAAACGCTTTGAAACATACGATACGGGAAGAAGAAAAAGTGCCGATTGAAATGGTGACGAATTTTAACGAAATAGTGGACGAAGTTAGGGGAAAATTGAAAGACCTCCGAGATCAACCTCTGAGATTAGAAAACCCCGTGATTTATCACTTGGACGTAGGCGCTATGTATCCAAATATTATCCTGACTAATAGATTGCAACCCTCCGCGATCGTGAATGAGATGGATTGCGCGGTGTGCGATTATAACAAATCTAACGCTCTTTGTCAAAGAAAGATGGAGTGGATGTGGAGAGGCGAATATCGTAAGTCTGCATACAAGTTTCTTCGCGTTCTTATTTCCTAAATTCTCCTAAATCTTTCTTATTTTCTAAAATTTTCTGTCCCCGATTGAAATGGTTAATAAATTTCAGTGGCTGCCAATCTGGGTGAGTATCAAAGGATAAAGCAACAATTAGAGACTGAAAGGTTTCCACCGCAGTTCCCTGGCGGCTCTAAGAGGGCATTTCATGAATTAACCATGAAAGAACAAGCCACGTTTGAAAAGAACAGGCTCACCGAGTATTGCAAAAAAGCTTATAAGAAGGTGAAAATTACGAGGACGGAGGAGAGGACACAAACGATCTGTCAGAAGGAGAATTCGTTTTACGTAGACACCGTGAGAGCATTCAGAGATAGAAGATACGAGTTCAAAGGGTTAACTAAAGTCGCTAAGCGGCAAGTGGCAGCGGCTGTGGCGAAAGGAGACGCTGCTGAGATAAAATCCGCCAAGAATAAAGAAGTCTTGTATGACTCTCTTCAGCTAGCTCACAAGTGTATTCTCAACTCTTTCTATGGTTACGTTATGAGAAAAGGGTAAGTTACAATGAAATATATATTAAGCAACATGCATTACGATATAATACAACATCTCTGCATTGCAGAGCTAGATGGCACAGCATGGAAATGGGCGGCATTGTGTGTTACACGGGAGCTCACATTATCATGCGGGCTAGGGAAATCATCGAAAAAATTGGCCGCCCATTGGAACTGGACACCGACGGTATATGGTGCATATTACCTGCATCTTTTCCAGATTCTCTTGTAGTTCACTCCACTCACGAGAAGAAATCGAAATTTACGATCTCTTACCCGAACGCCGTCCTCAATTTCATGGTGAAGGTATGTGCGATCGAACAGAGGGGGGGGTATGCATTTTCCCTTTTCCCCTGATCTGATCTCGTCGGTCTCTTCCTTTCGTAGGATCAATTTACCAACGACGTATACCACGAGCTCGTGGACAAGGATAACTTAACGTATGAGATACGGAGCGAGAACTCGATATTTTTCGAAATCGACGGACCATATTTGGCGATGGTGTTGCCCGCTGCCAAGGAAGAAGGGAAGAAACTGAAGAAACGATACGCTGTGTTCAATTTCGACGGCTCGCTAGCCGAGCTGAAGGGATTCGAGGTGAAAAGGAGAGGCGAGCTGCAGCTGATAAAAATCTTCCAGGCGTCCGTGTTCGAGTCCTTCCTAAAGGGCAACACGTTAGAGGAGTGTTACGCGTCGGTCGCGAAGGACGCGGATTATTGGCTTGATTTGCTGTACAGCAAGTGCGCGAACATGCCCGACTCCGAGTTATTTGAGCTGATATCTGAGAATAAATCCATGTCGCGTAAGCTGGAGGAGTACGGTGCTCAGAAATCCACGTCGATTTCCACCGCTAAGAGATTGGCCGAGTTCTTGGGCGACGAGATGGTCAAGGACGCGGGCTTGGCTTGCAGATACATCATAGCGAATAAACCGCAAAGCGCGCCGGTCACCGAGCGTGCGATACCGTTGGCCATCTTCCAGTCGGAGCCGGCTGTGCGTAGGCATTATCTGAAAAAATGGCTGAAGGATCCCACTTTGTACAACGACGACATAAGGGACATCTTGGACTGGAATTACTACATCGAGAGGCTCGGCAACGCCATCCAGAAGATCATCACTATACCAGCGGCTATGCAAGGCTTAGCCAACCCGGTCCCGCGAGTGCAGTACCCGTCTTGGTTGCACAAGAAAGTGATGGAGAGAGGTGCGTCTCATCGTCAGAGGAAGATCACCGACATTTTTACCGTAACAACAACTAAGAATACCCCCGATAGGGTCGGGGGGGAGTCTGGTTCCACAGAACCCCGCGATATCGAGGATCTCGCGGGACCGTCGAGTGGCTTCAAGAAACCATCAACAGTCGTGTCGGTCGTCAGCAAGAGGAAAAGGCGACGCTCAGAGGAGGAGGATGAAGCAGTCAGGAGCAGAAGTTGGAAGGAGGCTCTAGGGTCACCTCCTCCCAAGGGAAAGACCAAGGAAGAGAGGTTGAAGTGGTTGGAGTTCCACAAGAAGAAGTGGGCCTTCCAGGCTAAGCAGAGGCAGCAACATCGACGGAAGAGAAGCAGAACGTCCGACGAGAGCGATGTGGGTGTTTGGGGGGTTATACGAAACGCGAACACGTCCACCATGGACGGTTTCTTGAGGCGTGCTCAACGAAAGCTGCTGGAGTCTCCTTGGCAGATCGTCCAGTTGTCGGAGACCAGCGAGCCGGGTATGTTCCGCTTATGGATACTGGTCGAGACGCAGTTGCACCGAGTGCGCCTCGTGGTGCCGCGTGTGTTTTACGTGAATACCCGTAAAGCGAGGCCCGACCCGGGCCCTAACGAACTCTGGAGGAAGAGCTTCAAGTCCTTGCCGCGCTCTCGCCCGGTGTACAACCTGTATCGATACTCCTTGCCGGAGTCGCTTTTCCAGGAGCACAGCCGGGAGCTTCTCGAGGATCTGAGCAAGCCGGAGATCGAAGGCATTTACGAGACGCAAATGTCTTTAGAATTTCGAGCCATATTGCAATTGGGATGCGTGTGCATGGTCGACCTACGTGCCGCGCGTAAGATGGCGGACGGCGCCGACACCTTCTCCCTGGATCAGCTGGAATTCAAAAGTATCGCCTTCCAGCCATACCTCAAGCAGACAGAATCGATCAACTATATATTCCTCTATCACCACTGGAGCTCCAATCGCCAAAGGGCACTTTGGAGTCTGTTCCTGAACGCCAGCAAGAGAGCCTACGTAGTCATCTTAGACTCGGTCGCTTCTAATCAGATGCCGAACCTGAATACGCTCTACACGCAAGAACGCAACGCGATGCTGGCAAGGGAAGACGAAAGCAAAATAAGCAAACTGCCCAAGACCATGCAGTTCGTGATACAGAACGAAACGAATTTCCAACAAGTATGCCGCATATTGCAAGCGGCTCTGACGATATACCAGAATGAAGGTCACGGTGCCACGATCATCATCAATCAGACCGCTCTGGACAAGGCGGTACTGACCGCGGAGATGCCGCTGCTCAACGAGTTCCCCCTCGTCAGCACGCACGTGCGGGACGTCGAGAATCTCTACAGCATGATGGAGTGGCAGAAGACCGGCGCGAAAATGATGATCAGGCATTATTTGAAGAGCCAGCAGATCGTCGAGCTGATGGCGGAGCAGTGTCGCTTCTTTCACTCGCCCATTGGTAACATACCCGCCGATCCTACTCTCTTTGGCGCGGACCTGTTCTACGCCCGGCATCTGCACAGGAACAACTTCGTCCTGTGGTGTTCGCCGACGGAGAAACCGGACTTGGGCGGCAGCGAGAACGACGACAACAGATTACTGACGGATTTCGAAGAGAGCTCCAGTTGCGCCGCCAATAATCCGGGCACGTATTCCAGCGTCTGCGTTCAACTGGACGTGGAGAGTCTGGCGGTCAACGCGTTGCTGCAGTATCATCATATCCACGACATAGACGGAACTAGTGCATTTGTGGCCTTCCACAATCAGCAACGTCCTTCTGTTCAGGTTCGTCGATGTGCATTCTTCTCACTTCTGGGAGTGTTAAATATTGATTCCTGTGCTACATTCTAATGCCAATTACATCGTAAACCCTGAATTTTCAACAGGACATAGTGACCGGCGAAGCTTCAGCGACTATTCCTAGCTACGACGAAATTACTCTGTGCAATCCGGCGTTTAAGACGTTGCGAAGTATGGTGAACGCATGGTTGCTCGAAGTATCAGTCTATAAAAATGTATTTGCCGATTATCAATTGATTCATTTTTATCGGTAAGTTTCCTACGTATCGCTCAATACATTTTGTTCTTATAAACATGTAAATCTATACGATATGGGAGGAGAGAGAGAGAGAGAGAGAGAGAGAGAGAGAGAGAGAGAGAGAGAGAGCGCCAATAGTTGCTTTTTTCAATTTCAAAAGCTTTGAAATCTGTGAACATTCAAATATTGATAGACTCTCTAAGCCCGATTACAAATTTCATTCTTTAATCATTAAAATATTAGTTGAGAGATGTAACTAACATAGACCTGTATTCTGAATTCTCTTTTTATCGATAAAAGTACCTTAAATGTGGCTTCTCAACCGATCAGATGGTTCTTAAGCCACTTTTAGAGACACTTTTATCGATAAAAGAAAGTTCGGGCCATAACGTACAACATTTTAAAGTATTCACGGAATCTAAAGTTATAATTGAAATTTAGAAATATTGACTATTTTTCTCCCAAAACGCAGAAATTTACATAATGGTATGATTCCAGATGGCTGAGATCTTCGAACGCTTTACTCTACGATCCCGCTCTACGTCGTACGCTACACACATACATGAAGAAATTGTACATACAATTGATAGCGGAGTTTAAGACGTTGGGTTGTATCGTAGTTTTCGCGAACTTCAACAAAATCATCGTGTGCACGCGGAAAAGATCGATTGCCGACGCTCTCGGCTACATGGAATTTGTTGTTCAAACCATACGAAACAAGGAGCTGTTTCACAGTATCGAAATTACATTAGATCAATGTTGGGAATATCTAATATGGCTTGACTTGGTATGTGAAATGAATCATCATTTTTATATGTCAAATAATTCTAAGGTGTTAATTTTAACATGGCATTGATCGAATAGCGTTTAATTAATTTTGAGTAACTTCTGTTTCGTATTATATCCGTTCATCAAATTGTGCAATTTTTATAATTTGGTTATCTACTTTATTTTACAGCACAACCACGCTGGTATTAAAGGAGAGATAGCGAAGGAAGACGACGTCAACAATAGTATGGGGAACAGTGAGAATAATACTGAAAATGACGAGGATGACATGGTAGATATAAACACACGTCTAAGTACTTTTAAAAATCGTATTGATAGCTTTTGCTCAGTGATATATTGAACTTGTTTGTCCACGGTCAAATTATTCCTGCGTAGCCTAAAATAGCGATGAACTGGAGCTTGATGGAATGTCTACCGAAGGAAGCTGGATGTCAAGCGAGTTTCAACGTTATAATAGCAGGGTACATAAACGCAGTCTATCAGTGCATGATCGACAACGAAGTCAATAGTACTATAAGACCGAGGAGAAGACAGAGCCAAAGCCAGCCTTTATCGATACAGCTTGGTTTAGGAGCATTGGAAAATACAGCGGAGTTCGCGAAGAAGCTGATTTCCGGAGAGATGTCACAAAAATTATTCAAGTATATATTTTTATATGTTATACACATAATTAATTGTGATATTTAACAACAAACCGACAGTGTGAAGCATGTGTGAATATATTATTTTCAGAATAGCGGAAAAGATACATCGGAATTTGCCGGAGAAAGTATTGTCTTTGGAAGAATATCCGAATTTAGATATGGGTGGCAAGGAGAATATAAAGATTAATCCCGCTCTTGAATTAATCAAAGCGATATGCAAGGTAACGATATCATCATTATGCATATTTATTAATTAATGTTTAAGAGATGGCTGTCTGACCTATCGAGGATTCTTATTTATTTCTCAAAATTTCAGGTTTTATCTTTAGACAAGGAAGTTGAAAGCGAGGTTTACAACTTGAAATCAAATCTCTTACGGTTAATCGGAGTCGGAAATCATGGCGATAACGTCGAGTGGAAGGAACCGTGTATCTCTCTCATCTTATCGGAAGTTATATGCAGAGCGTGTAATCACACGAAAGATATTGATCTTTGTAAAGATCAGCATTATACGGTTGAAAACAACAGGTAGGTCAGGTATTACAATTAATATGATCGATATGAAGACATATCTTTTGCATTATCGTTTTTCAGGCATATGTGGAAGTGTTCCACTTGCGATACTTTTTACGACAATGCGGAAATAGAATTTTTATTGATCGACAAGTTGAATCGCAAGAGTATGGGTTACGTGCTGCAGGATTTACAATGTCGAAAGTGTAAAGGGATTAAGCGTGAGAACATGAGCGTGCAATGCTCTTGCTCCGGCTTATACGGAAATTTAATCCCCCAAGATGAGATAACGACATTTGTAAATATATGTAAATCTATAGCCAGCAAATGTAAAATGAATATTCTAGCAGAGATAGTAGAGAACACAAAACTCTTTATCGATCAATAACCGTGAATAAAAAACAAGTTTTATATTGACAAATTAAATATGAGAAAGTCAATATACAGATATGTCATGTTGCAGACTGAGGTATTTTAAATGTTTAATTTTCTCGTTTCGGACGCATTTATAAATGATAAAAAAGACTGAAATAACCAATAACCCTTGTAATGGTATGTGTATTCTTTGCGATTAATTATCTAATATTTAATGGTTTAACCATCAATACATGAATGTTCTATGATATATATCGACATATTTACTTATTATCAATACCAATTTCCACAGGTGGATCTAAAACCAAACAAATTATGTCAAGTCAAATATATGAACACATGCTCATATAACATTTATACAAAGAGATACGAAGTTCTTGTAATCATTTTTTGATAGGATAAAGGTAACAGTGTCTGATAGATATATAAATGAAATTACATACCTGTGAATTGAAACTGAGGAAATTGCGTCATGTCTCTTCCCTTGCTACCAAATTGCGTATGAATTTTCTCTAATTCAGATTCTCGTTCCTTAAGGATTTCTGGGCTGGCGTCAATCATTTTGCCACCTCTTTAATTGAACAGAATTCTTTTAGCATCAAATATACAATTTTATATTCTGATCAATTACTTTGGATATGCAAAAAAGAAAAGAAATTGATAAGCCATTAAGTATCTAAATTAATGAAACTGATTTGATTCTGTAGTTAAGTAAAAAGTATTTTGTTATATATTACTTATTATATATAATAATATACATTCAGAACCATGTTTTTTTTAAGCAAACATATTTTATATTCTTCTTATTGTAGATGTCCTTAATTACAAACAGAAAATTGACAAAAACTTAACTTTTTGAAGTTTTCGGAGCAACGCCTAAGAGATTGCATTATTTTAAAATAAAATTTGAAAAATATAGATAATGTATACTATAAAAATTAGAAGATATAGTAGGTAATTATACAAAAAATTATTATTCAAGAAATATACTTACGCGCTTTTCGATTTATATTCCCGAATTTTGTCAATAAAGAGCTGTTGTATGGGATCACTTGCTTTTTGTAAGACAGGGATGTTAGTACCGAAGCTACGTCTTATAACTTTCGGCACATTAATGACCAGGCGTAATTTCAACATGATTACCTACAAATTATTTCAAATAACTCTAGGAAAGAAACTTCAGGTTTCATATAGCAACTGTCAACGATTAATTTTATATTCTTATATAGTAAGTTAGATAAATCCTTATTTATCGATAAATATTATATTATAGATCATATTTTATATCATATCTGATTCTATGTTAAATACTGAATTTTGTTAAAAAAAAGGCAAAAATTAATCGCTATTGAAGTTCTCTTACGTAATAAATGCAATAATATTTGTTGGTTAGATTTTGGATTGTGAATTAGACATAATTATACAAATTAAACACGCACTGTCCCGAAAAACAATTAACGACAACAATAATTTTATAAAATTATCATATCACAAATATATCAATATTTAATATAATATACTAACTTCTTTTCTTTTAGCACTTATATCACCTATAACCTCTTCTTCCGTCTCCTCGATCAGAAGATACTCGATGGTCTAGTTTCCATCGAAGCGTCCAATCCGATTTTACTTCGGTGCGGAGAGAATACAGTGCGATAGTGAAAAGATATGTGAAAACCGAATCAGAATATTTTCAGCTCCTGAATTCGTCACGTATGTATTTCAAATGCGTTTCGAATGCAGTTTTCTTTTATTTTAACTTTTCAATATAAGTTTTCGAGTTTCATTTACATTTTAGCGGATTAAAATGTTTTAATCCCAATCTTTTAATTTAGATATTAAAAATTTACAATTCTAAATAATTTTTAGTAAATTTCTTTGATAGAGATGTTTGCTTGAATTTGGAGCTTTAGTTGGCGACACTGTCGACGCGTAAAAGCTAGCAAGATGTCGCTAGCAGGATTTCCGGGGACCTCGGGTTCCTGTTCGTCGCATGGTGCCGTGCTGGTGACGAGTCGATTCCATGCGTAAGAAATTTCATCAAATATCGAAATGACGGACGACGTGGTGGTGTTGGACGATCCCGTTCACAAGGAGGAAATAGCGCACTTCCAAGCGCCGGCGATTCAGCACAATCGGGAAGGCTGGGGTCCGTGTGAGTTGCCGGATCAGTTTAAAGACATTCCTTATCAGCCATTTTCGAAAGGCGACAGACTCGGCAAGGTGAGCGTGCGAGGCTTACTCGCCGTTTTTACTCCGTTGTTATAAAACATTTTCAATTTTACTCCGTTGTTATAAAACATTTTCTTTTCCCTTTTGTTTCTGTTAGATCTCCGATTGGACCACGCCGGCCTTCCCGGATAAGAAATTTCCAAGTACGTATCTCGCCACTTTCATCGTTCGCTTACGTTTAATCACTATGCTTCTCAGGAAATCGATTAGGCGCTTCGTTGGCATTGTTATGTTGCATATGTTTTGTCATCAATGACGACTGACGGCTTATTTATGTAGTAAGTCTTCCTTCGGCGGCCCAGGAGTACGCACATTTTTGCGAGGCCTTTGTTACGGAATTGCCTAGATATTTTTGATAAAGTCATTGTTTCAGCAGCACACATTTTCTGTTATACATATCTTATAATCAAGTAGTCTGCTTTTTATAGCAGCACTGATAAACTGGTGCAATAAGTTAGGGTGAACATCTGAAGATGAACTTAAAATGATCTTAAATATAAGACCTGACTGCAAATATCACCCTAAGAGTCTGCTATATTCGAATCCTTTGTTAGCTTCATAATTGTGTAATATACATCAATCTAATATCAATAATTTTAGAGATGAATCATTCGCTATCTCGGGTTATATGTAGGAATGAAAGGATATTTGTTCTATTTTGTGAATAATATCAACATCAATACAACAACACAGTGACAAGTGTCAACAATACATCTTCACTTTTCCAGACAAATATACATCGCAGTTCGGTTGCGGCAGTCAGTATGCTTATTACCACGACGAAGACGAGACGAGCTTCCACTTGGTGGACACCACCCGCGTGCAGAAGCCGCCGTACCAGCGTGGCCGCTTCCGTCATAACCAGCGCAACTTGCGCGGTCGTGGTGGTCAACGCGGTGCGTTGAGCCAGATGCAGCAATTGGGAAAGCTGAAGCTGCGTGAGCGAGAACGCAAGGGGCAGACGAAACGCTGGGGTAGACAGCAGGGCCTGCGGAATCACAAGAATCAGCCGCCAATCAAGATACGAGACGCCTCTGTGACGGTCCGACCGGATTGGTTGACCATTGAGGAGATGGACTTCCCACGCTTGGCGAAACTCTCGTTGCCCGGCGTGAAGGATGGCGAGGATATAATGTGCTGCGGCTCGCTCGAGTATTACGACAAGACTTACGACCGCGTGAACGTGAAGAGTGAGAAGCCGCTTCAACGAATCGATCGGATCTTCCATACAGTGACAACCACCGACGATCCTATAATCCGCAAGCTGTCCAAGACCGAGGGCAACGTTTACGCCACTGATGCGATATTAGCTACTATCATGTGCTGTACGCGCAGCAATTACTCATGGGACATCGTCATCGAGAAAATTGGCGACAAGCTGTTCTTCGACAAGCGCGACAACACCGAGTTCGATCTGCTGACCGTAAACGAGACTAGCGTGGAACCGCCACAGGACGACGGCAACTCGTTGAACTCGCCGCGCAATTTGGCGCTCGAAGCGACCTTCATCAATCACAACTTCTCGCAGCAGGTGTTGAAGTCGAACGAGTCGCGCTACAAGTTCGAGGAGGGCAATCCCTTCATCGCCGAGGAGGAGGAGAGCGACGTGGCGAGCGTGGCGTACCGTTATCGCAAGTGGGACCTCAACAACGGCATAGTGCTCGTCGCACGTTGCGAGCACGACGCCGTGATGCAGGGTCCTAACAACGAGAACCAGTTCCTGACGATCAAGGCGCTGAACGAGTGGGACTCGAAGCTGGCCAACGGAGTCGAGTGGCGCCAGAAGCTCGACACGCAGCGGGGCGCCGTTTTGGCCAACGAGTTGCGCAACAACGCGTGCAAGCTCGCCAAGTGGACCGTGCAGGCGTTATTGGCCGGCTCGGATCAGCTCAAGTTCGGGTACGTGTCGCGCGCCATCGTGCGCGACTCCAGCAAACACGTGATCCTCGGGACCCAGCAGTACAAGCCGAACGAGTTCGCGACGCAGATCAATCTGAACATGGACAACGCCTGGGGAATTCTCCGTTGTATCATCGACATCTGCATGAAGCAGAAGGACGGCAAGTATTTGATTATGAAGGATCCGAACAAGCCTATGATCAGGCTCTACGATATTCCCGATAATACGTTTGAAAGCGAAGGCGAAGACGATGAGGACGACGACGAGCCTGTTAATGACGCGTTTCAGAGTTAACGGAGACAACAGTAATCGTATAACATTCGTCACTAGTCGGTAATCGCGTTCGATCGACCGATGCTTTTACAAGGATTATTGTAAAAGGCAAGTATTGACGTCTTACTGGAGGAAATAAAATGAGGAAGTTTAAGTACGATACTTGATCCTGCGAAACTCTATTACACAACTTCTCGACAGGACCGATTGGTAAAAGTTTTTCAGCGCAGAATTTTCGCATAGGCTGGAAAGTGCGCGCGAGGATCTCGCCAAGGGACCTGCTCAAACATATGTTTCGGGATTTATTCGTTCGATTGTCAGTCCTGCGACATTTATTACCGCATCCGCATATTCCATACAGCGAGGAAAGAATCTGAACCCCATTTCTCAAAGCAGCTTTCTATTTATTATATTTCTATTATAATATTTTACATTCGGACTGGTTGACTATCACATAAATTGATAATTTATAAGAAACACTGGAGGAATTTCTTGCTTAAAAAAAAAGTGCAAGGTGATAAACTTGAATACATTCCTGCGTTATAAACATACAGTGGATTTGTTGGAAAGTTGCTGAAATATGTTGAGAATAGATCCTTTGCTAGGAAGTCGGTGGAAATATATAAAATGAAAAAAATTCAGATATGCTGTTCTATTTTGTCAAATTAATATGCTGGGAAGAGTGTTATATACGAGTATATATATATATATATATATATATATATATATACTTTTATTCATTAAATATTTAATACGTTATCGCCTCTTTTTCAGTTAATTTTCAGGAGACTTAGAGTCATCTCCATGAAGAGTCGTCATCTCTTTGATGACGTATTTTAACTTGCGTATAGCAGAGTACATCATCGGATCATTGATATCGTAATGAAGAACGATTCTGATCAATTTGTTGGTTAGAGCGAGACACCGGATTATAATTCTGTCATCCTCATCGGGCCGTTCTACTTGATGGAGTCTCTTCATGAAATCCACCGCGGATATGCGCTCGGAATTGACGTCCACGAATATCATGTTGGTCTGCACGGATCTCATGTCTACGGTGAACACCTTGGAATTCATCTCATTGATCGCCTGCGCGATCGTCAACGCTCTTTGGTGGTCCTCCTCTAATAGCGGTATCGAGTCTTCCAGGGCGACGAGCCCGGCTGCGGCGATTACACCGACCTGTCTCATCCCACCGCCCAGCACCTTCCTCCTCCTCCTCGCATTGGCGATAAAGCTCTTGCTTCCGCAAAGCACGGAGCCAACCGGCGCGCCCAATCCCTTGCTCAAGCAAAAGGTAACCGAGTCGAACGGAGCCGCGAGATCCTTCGCCGAGATCTTTGAAGCCACCGAAGCGTTCCATAATCGCGCCCCGTCCAAATGCATCCTAAGATCGTGCCTCCTCGCCACCGCAGTCAACTCCTCCACCCACAATTGAGGCACGATTATCCCATTAATCGTGTTCTCCACTATCACCAATTTCGAGATCGGTTCGTGCAATCTATCACTGCGAATCGCGCCCTCCAGCTTCTTCAAGTCGAACGTGCCGTCGTTGTTATTCGGCAGGACGTAGAGGCTTACGCCGGCTAATTGCGCGGCACCACCCTGCTCGTGTTGAAACACATGCGACTTGTCGCCGCAGTAGACTTCGCTGCCGCGCACGTCGCAGTGATTCATGACTGAAGAGAGACGAAGACGAGCGAATGTTAAAAGTACAGCCGAGTACAAATAATACGAGCGTATACTCACTCTCCCTTATATAAGTATATATTTTATTATAATATAATCTTCAGTAAATACGAACTAACAGCAATGTAACATCAAGGCTATAAATTGTTCACTGAACAATGTAAATGCAATACAACGCATGTTATGTAACATTGTTGAGTGGGAAATCCATAATATTGATGTTAGGTTACTGACAGTTGATATTTACTGGGTCGTAGTAAGTATGAAACTTGATGCTCAAAACAGAATATAGGATGTCACGAGTAAATCATGATGATCTAAGAGTCGAGAGGCTTCTATATATATATATATATATATTTATTTATTTATTTATTTATTTAAACATGATTTTAACAGATTTGACTAGATTTAAACATGATTTAAAAAAAATATATATATTTTTTTTTCCACAAAAGATCTCTGTGTTATATAATGCATCGAGTAAGTTAACTTTAATTTCTTAATGACGCTTAGCTAAGAGAGAAGTAAGTGTGATAAATAGAGATCATACTGAAATACTTACTAGCTATCAAATTTCCCATCGTACCGGTACTGACGAACAACGCGTCTTCTTTTCCAAGTAATTCCGCGGCCATTTTTTGTAATTCTAAAAAATTGAGGTTCGGGTTAAATTTGTTTTCCTGTTTAAATATTGTGATTAACAAATCATTTGACAAATTTATTCAAATATAATTCTGTTCTTTCGTCATATAGTTTAGTCGCTTTCGAAATTGAAAGTCTCATTGAAATGTTAGGGATTTTGTCATATTAGGTCTGTTCGTTTTCGCTACACCGCTGAACTAGTGCAATAAGTTGAAGCGAGACAAGTATATGTTTTCTCACTCCAACTTATCGCACTAGTTCAGAGGTATAGCGATAACGAATAGTGATAACAGACATATTGTAAACAACATGCATTTTTATGTTCGCCACCTTTCACTGTAGGATCTTCCTCATAGACATCGTCTCCCACACACGCTAGAAACATGGACAGTCTCATTGTTTCCGTCGGTTTTGTAATCGTATCGCTCCGTAAGTCGACTATGATGGCCTAGTAATCATACACTTAACTTATTTCGAGCAATTTTCGTATGAGAAAATATTAGGTTTGACCTTCAAGTCGGAACCGTGTCTTTCGTAGATGTTCCCAACGTTGGAAACAAAAATATATATATGTATATATATATATTTTTTTATAATTTCTCTGACACGAATGTTAACAATTAAAATGTCCTATTGAAATAACGTAATTAAACACGTATACTCTCGCGCATCAGAACGACGTCATTATGATTATGAAAGCTCATTGTTATCGTTATTTATCAGATTTCTCTACAATTGATAACGATTGAATAGATGCAAAGAAGAAGATTCTTAATTTTCTACTTGCATCCTTTTCCTGCGCGTAATCTTCAATATTCTCGTTGATACCGCCATATGTGGACATGTTGCTGATACACTAGTGTGGAGGTTGGATGGATAGCCCGGGAGGAATCTAGGCATGTGCACACTGAGTGCTCGGCACAGAGATTAAGAAAGACTCCTTTATTTCGTAGAGAAACACTACAACAATACAGCTCTAACGGCGGGCTAGCCTCCACTGTTCTTCTGCCGCACAGCGACAAAGGACTAGCCGTGCAGTGACAAAAGACTAGCTCGCCGGCGTGTGGTGGGGGGCGAGCTCGCATGCAAGCGAGATAGAGTATGGCCGCCACACTAATATCTTCGATACGTGTGAACCGGTTCTGTTCTTATATCTATAGAGAACGCTTATAAATACCTTGCACGTAATTTGATGCGCGTAGTTATCGTATAAGATAAGGGACCATAAATATGTAGATTCCAAATATAGAAACCGAAACTGTTAAATCGTTCTGTAATTGAGTGTACGACATTCGTTAACAAATACGTAAAAAATTTAAAGTTTTTTCTCTAAAACGCCTGTGTCACATTTTCGAATCAAATAATTTTTCGCTTTGAAAACTCAACTGAAAGACGAAATCTTTCTTGAAATTGAGCGATCACCATTTTTCGTTTAACTCGAAATATCTTGACGAAAATTAATGATAATATTAATATAGTTAATGTGGTTAAAAACTAGAGACTTCAAGAGAAAATTAGAGACTTTAAAGTGCTTTTTAAACGATCCCGATAGCATTATTGCGAAAGTTATAGCCTGTTGAATTTCGCTTATGTTTTATTACAATGGAAAATATGTCCGACCAGCCCTTGAGTCATACTACTTGAGAGGAACTGAGGTTGTGGAGAAGGAAGCCTCCATATTCGAGTCTAGAACGAATGAGAGCCCTATATATTCTAAGCAGAATCGATGGGTCTGCACCCCATCAGGTATGTCTAAGGCAGTTTAAAATTTTGAAGGGACTTTGACAGGTATTCCAAATATGATTTACCTGTTTGTTCCATTTGAGATCGGACGAGAGGATCATGCCTAAGAATTTTACGGAATGGTATCTCGCGATTTTGTCTTCGTTAAGGCTAAGATGAGGGTGACTGATATTGAGGTGACTTGATGATTTTTTGAAGATGCAAAATTTCGATTTACTAGGGGAAAGACTGAGACCTAAATCGGAAAAAATAGCAATGTCGTCGGCGTATTGGATGATGTTACAATGAGGTGGAAGGGCACTTTCCACCTCGGAAGTATAGATGGTGTACAGGATGGGACTTAGGACGCTGCCTTGAGGAAGGCCTTTGAATGTCCAGAGAATTTCATCTATATCGCCGAATTTGCAGTAAATTTCTCTTTCGGCGATTTATAGATGAATGACAAAGTACAAGATGGGATGCCGAGTGCTTTAAGTTTTTTAAGTAGAACGTCCCAGAGGACATTGTCGATGGCAGATTTGATGTCCAGGAAGGCAGCAGCAGTAGAGGAGCCTTTGGTAAAGGATCTTAGGATGTTGGTAAACAAGATGAATAAATTATCTATGCAAGATCTGTTTCTGCGGATGCCGAATTGGGATTTGGGGGACTTCATATGGTGTTCGAGCCACCAGTTGAGGCGGTTGTATATCATTTTCTCCACAATTTTAGCGAGGCAGGGGGCTAGAGAGATAGGGCGAAATTTATCGGAGTCATCACGACCTCAGTTTTTAGTTAAGGGACGTGGCGGCTCGTAGCGGAGATTCTGAAACTAAATTTCAGAAATAACGGGTCTAATAATTCCGTAAACCCGTTACACTAACGCATACCTATTATAAAAATAACGGGTTTGCGGAATTACTAGACCCGTTATTTCCACAATATAGTTGCAGAATTTCTGCTACGAGTTGCTACTATACTAAACGAGAAACTGAGGTCGTAATATGACTAAACGATGGAGCCGGGCATCGCCGGCGCGACGTCACTTCCGAGAGCGAGGCTAGCTCGCAAGCCGGATCAAACACTCTCTCTCGCGAGAAGGGCGAGTCCGCCCGCGTCGCGGTAACACCGGTGGTGTAGTGGTAGTAATAGAGCAATAGTGGAACAGCAGTAGTAGCGCCGCCGCCACCGCTGCCATCGCCGCCACCACCACCACCGCCGTCACCGTCGCCGCCACCGCCGCCGCACACTCGTCGTCGGTCGCGCATCGTGGCGACAGTTAGCAGCGGCAGCCGTATCGTCGTCGGTCGCGCATCGTGGCGACAGCAAGTAACGGCCGTCGTCGTCGTGTCGTTAGGCTCGGTCAGACTCGGCTGCGATCGAGTCGATCGTGTCCCGTACGCGAGTTGTAACATCGTGCGAGCTGGTAGAACGTTGTGCAGGAGATAACGAGAGAAGGCGCGGCAGGACCCAGGAACAGGCGGTGACGGAGCGTAAGGAGAGAGAGAGAGAAAGAGAGAGAGAGGCGATCGCAGGTTAAAAGCGGATAAAGGCAGCAGCAACAGCTCCGGCCGCGTCGTGTGTGCGCGCTCGCTAAACAAAGATGGCGGAGGTGGACTCGAGGGTAGACCGGTCCGACCCGGAGCTGCGTTTCTTGTCGGTCGACAGGAACAGCTTCAACGACCCGGCCACTCAGGCGGAATGGACGCAGAAGAAGCTGGTGTGGGTGCCGCACGAGAGCCAGGGCTTCGTCGCCGCCGGCATCAAGGGGGAGCGCGGCGACGAGGTCGAGGTGGAGATCGCCGAGACCGGCAAGCGCGTACTCGTCGCGAAGGACGACATACAGAAGATGAATCCGCCCAAGTTCGACAAGGTCGAGGACATGGCGGAGCTCACCTGCCTCAACGAGGCATCTGTGCTGCATAACCTAAAGGACCGCTACTACTCTGGACTGATTTACGTGAGTGAGATACATACCTTGCAATATGCCCTTGTCGCGCGTCTTTATCTCCCGGTGTGCGATCGAAGCCTCGCTCGGCTGTACGATGAATCTCTGTCTCTTTCTCTCTTCCTCTCTCTCTCTCCTTTTCTCACTCTCTTTTTCTCTCACTCACTCTCTCCCCCGTCGGTTTGGGTCGGTATTTAAATCTCCAACGTTCGTAGTAGTCGGGCTTGTCGCTAACCCGATTTTCTCTCTCCGTCTATACCGCAGATCGGGATTGACAGTTTCCAGGGGTTTCGCGTTACAAATATTTAGGAGCCGCCCGACTCCTTCTAACGGGGATTTAAAAAGAATTCGAAACGAGAAAACAGAATCTGTATTTAACTCATGCCTCAAGTCGGTAATACGGGTGTCTACGAGAGAGACTGCGTCGCAGAATCTTTCAGAATAACCTCGCCGGGTTGAAAGTTAAACGTGTGGGGATTAAAAGTCGAGATTCATCGCGTACCACCAAGGAGTTGAATGCAAAGTTTAATTCGTTTCACTATGCTACTTGTAATTCGTTCAACGGATCTGGCGTGTCGCTTCCACGGTTCCATTTCGATGGAGCGTACACGCAATTTAATTTCTATATCGATCTTCCTATATATTCTCCTTTATTTATTTTTATCGCTTAACTCCCTCAACTTTCATTGCTTAACAATAACGTAAGGTAGAACTGACATTCACGGAATACACAAATGATATCTGCCTAGCGAATTAGCACGTAGATGTAATATTTACCTTAATACATACATTTCGCGCGCGCGCGCGCGCGTTTGTACGAAAGTCGCTGCAGCGCAGGTGCAGGCGCAGATGTGCGCCGGCCTTTATGTACGATCGAATCCCTTAGGGCCGATTCTCCGATCCGATTCGGGCCGAATTATTCCGTCGTCTTGCAAGAAGTAGGATTATAAAATTGGGATTATAAAAAACGGAATCGAAGAATCAAGTCGAGCGGTTTTTAGTCCGCCGACGTCAATCAAACCGGTTATACGGTGAGGTGTCTTCAAATATTCCCTCCTCGTGTATATCGTCGTGACTACGTCTCGGGAGGGAATAGGGCCAGAATTTTCTCTGACTGGAGCTTTCTCAAGTCGCGGCTGTAATTGACGCGCAAACGAAAAATGCTCGACAAAATTTGTAGGGAGGAACGAAGAAACCACGCTCGAGGAGGAAGAGAGGTTGAAGTCGCGCGCGCGGTCAGTGCTAATTTGCTCAACGCGGCTGTTTACGAAAGTATCCCGACGAGCAGCGGCGGTCTTCGGGAAACGTTAGAAGCGTCTCCTCGAGGTGAAACGCGTTGCCGGGATTAATATGTTCGCCGTGGTACGAAGCGCGTCGGTGAGTCACGCCACGCGCGTTTGAGAGAGGCCCGTTTTCGAATTCGAGCCCGGCGTTATTAATTCGGTAGGCACGCGCGTCGCCGTGAAAATTAATCGCCGGCACCATTGAAATTCCGCGGAATTCCCGGCTCGGTTGCGACGACGACGCGAAACGCGGCTCGTACGTGGTTCCAAATATTTACGAAGCGACGACGAGAGATGTTGAACGCGTATATTCTATCTCGCTCGTCTATTACCGAATCCTGACCGTTGCCCACGTTGAGAGTACATATTATTCGGCGTGGCTCGCTTTTTGCGCGGCGATGTACGGGAATAAAAAGTAAATCGATAGCTCGGAAGTGGAACAGCCTATATCGTATTTGTGGCATTCGAGTTGTAGCTCGGAAACAGGATGTAGAAGATTCTCAGTAGGGCTGCGGTTATCCGGATAAATCATCTTTCGGATATCCGAATAGCGCGCCATTGCCTGTTCGTATTCCGGATACTTCCAGGAAGTATCCAAGTGCCGAATAGCTTAGGAATCATACTATTCGTATTATTCGCGATCAGAAATATTCGAATGTCCGGTTAATGTCCGCGATTTTATTCGTAGTCGAGTATTGTGTCCGAGTATTCGAATAACGATATGATTCGGATTCAAGTCGCAGCCCCGATTTTCAGACTGAAGCGTTCTTGTTCCTCTGTATGTGAGGATAATATCAATTGTTCTAGGTTGGAATCATCGAAATTATAATCGACAATAGCCAACAAAGCGCGTCCGTCCTTTTATCTGCGGCTGATATCGCTCGGTTTGGTGTTTCAAGCTACCGAAAATGAGAAGTTTCACGGCTGAACGTTAAGCATTTCTTTTTTCTATTTCCGAAACAAAGTAAAACTTACAGAATGACAGCTCTATCTCCAGATAAGAATCTCATGATATTGAAGCAAGAAGAGCGTCGTGGGTGGCGTTTCGCCTTGATGAATGTCGAGGGGATATTAAAAGAAAGCGCGGTGTCATTTATATCCGCGCGCTGAGAGAATTGGCATCGATTGTTTCGGGCGAACTTGCCGGACCACCGTGTTTTGAAAAATAGCGCTCACACCGCGGGTCGGTCGTCTTATTCCGACCAACGGGAGAACCGTACGACTCTCTTTCGCTCGTAAGGCGGACTAAAGATAGCTCTCTCGGCTCACTACGGCTCTTGCTCGTCCTCGTCTGGAATTAATCCGCGCGCGAGATATATCGGAAATGTTGGGAGACCGAAAGAGAGAGAGAGAGAGAGAGAGAGAGAGAACGGAGAGAGAACGAGAAAGAGAGAGTGGGGGAAAGGAGGGGGAAGAGAGAAAGAGAGAGCGAGAATGTAAGGGAGAAAGGTGTGTGCGACGCGAACGGATTCGATCAGGAAAAGATGACCGGTTGCGTATCGCGTGGCGACAATTTAGATGCGACGGTATTTGCGTTGCTTTAATAGCGGATTCGCTCGTACGTTTCAATTTCTAATACAGGCTGCTGCGAACTAATAACCGTTCGCCGTGCGGAAAGTTGTTTGAGCACCGCGCAAAAGCGCGGTGCAACGTCGCAGGTGCTTATTTTCAGAATCCAAATCTATATATTTTTAGAGGATGAAGTTCGCGTGAGGGAAATTCCGTGCCGAATATTGTCGCGAGTTTATATTTTAAGAGAGTGTAACTTTGTATCTCTCGACGCGTTCTGCAAATAACCTCTTCATTTGTGTTCGGCACTTCATGGGCCAAGGTGCTTATACAGGGTGTCAGAAAGTGTCACTGACTGCCAAAAACCGAGCGTTCTATTATTTTAGCTTCTACGGTTGCTGTGATTTCAGAAGAGCGACTTTCCTACAAGCAAATTTCTCGCCAATCAGATCAATCATTTTAGCTTGTTACCATTCTTTTTAAATAGAAAGACTTATTGTATATGTCATTATATACAATACTTGCTGTTTTTCCTCTCATTGCGAAAGCGTGCTTAGGATGCGTTCTATTTCACTTCATTGGAACTTCAGAATTTTCTTTAAATGGCAAACACGCGCAAAACTATGTGGTTGCGATGCGAGCGCAGATAAGGTAACGAACGATCGGATGAAAACACTCCGAAGAAAGCTGTTTTGCAAGAGCTAATTGCAGTGTGGGAAATAAAAAGGCTCGGCTCACATACCTGCGCCTCAGATACGAGCACCGAGCTCCGGTGTCTAAGAATTAATCCCGGCGATATCCAGCGAAAAGTGCGCCTATATCCCATTGCTCGGCTGCCACGTTCAATTATTGAAAGGGTCAATTAATAACGTATCCGTCAAAACGTAAAATAACGCAGGAATAAATTTGGCCTTTCCTACACGAAGGCGACCGTTCTTTTTTCACGGTAAGCGCGAGAGAATGGCTGTGTTCTCGGTGCGTGAAGTCGAAAGAAAGAAGCCGGTGGTTCGAAGGTCAAGGGCGAGCTACGCAGAAAACGCGTACGAACAGGTATTTGCGGGTCCCCAGGTAAAAGAAGAAAAAAGGCAATGGGCGGTGCCGATGGTTACCGAATCCACGAGTTCATGTGCGTTTGCGCCTACGTGGAGACGAATACACGCGCGGCACACATTTCCTTGATATTTCCGCTTATCGCCGGATGATAAGAGAGCCTCGTCCCACCTCTCTTGCATCGACGAGTGACTCATGCTAATTTCGATTACATTACAAAATGCGGCCGCCGATTGTGCGCCGACGCTCGACTTTGATCGTGTTCGGAGGACAGGTGTTGGCTCTCTTATCGTCATCGGGGAAGTTCGTCCCTTTCGATTATCAAATATTGTCATTTGAGTGCAAACGACCGTAAATATTGCACGGAGAGTCGCTTGACCGTGAATGGTTATCGCATGGATCTCGGGATGTTCATACTACGGAAAAAAAGGACTGATATCTGGTTTATTCTCTGTTTTTAATTATAGAAGACGTAAAATCTGTAAATTTTCCATTACGCCGATCAATTGATCGATATTTCAGTGATTAACACGCCGAAAGAAATTTCAGAAACTTCAGTTGTATTATACACAATAAAAATTTTTGTGTTAAGTGTTTAATGTATTTCATGTGTCTCAAACGGTCTACTCAAATTTTTGTGACAATTTAATGCAAATATTATATTTAAAACTAACACGAAATTAATTCATTAATTGATATTTAAGTATAAAATGTGTTATTTTAACATTTACACTTGTTGAATATCGACATCACAAAATGTTGAGATAACAAAACACAATAAGTTGAATTAACACACGAGTATGATACAAATTTAGCACAAAATTAACAAGAACCGATTTTAACACAAGTACAAAGTATTTTTCACCGTGTACGGATAACCAGTTGTTAGCTGTGGGAGCTTATTCTTCTTTTCCGCGCGGGTAGAAACTTTTACGCACTTAAGTTCCAATAACTCTCAAGTTTTAAAATGTATGCGAATTTGAATTTCAATCTTATCTTTATAAACTGAAGGAACGTTGGCTCTTTTCAATGAAATTATGACATAATATAATGAACGTCAACTGTCCTCGTTCATTGACTTTTTCTTTTTTTAAGGAAAAAAAAACGATATCTCCACAGCGTTTTCCACTTCTCTTCCTTGTATTGCCGTATCGCACTGTTTTCGCGCTT